ATATATTTATTACCAAAGTATTTCTAGTATACTTTTTATAAATACATTAAAAGTATGCTTCTGTTTAGCATATTTCTTAGAAGTATAACTAAGCATATATTTAATACAAAAGTACTTCTAGTATACTTTTTAAAAATATATTAAAATGCAATTCAATATATTTTTATTGCACTTCAAATAAGCATGTTGGGAATACAAATGTATTATAAACATACTACTTGAATTTCAAGTATATTTTTAATACATTTAATACGATGTCTTTTTCACCTGGGTACAATGGTATGCGATGGTTACAAGAAGGCCTTAATTTGGAGAAATGAGGAACATCGCTCAAATCGCCATTAAAGATGATTATACACTCTTAAGAAAAATGGTTCTAAACAGTACCAGAAAAGGGTTCTTCAGCTTGTAACAATAGCAGAACCCTTTTTGGTGCTAAATAGAACCCTTTTTATAGGGTTCCATAAAGAAGCATGCTTTGAAAGTTCTATATAGAACCTTAATGGTGTTGTAAATAACCTTTTTAATGATGGTTTATTTTAATTAATTAGCATGCTAGTATATTTATATCATTAATATTAGTATTATTAATATTATTTGTATATTATTTATTACTATTATTGTTTACCCCTTTATCTGCCTGGTCTTATAATATCGTGTAGTGTCTATTAGGGTTTTCATAAACAACAACAACAACAACAGAATGTTGTCAGTTATAGGTACTTTTATTTTATTTCATGACATGTGAAATTGTAGCAAAAATGACAGTAATCAAACAACCGTTATTAGCAGAATACATTAATAAATAACAATTGACACTGACCATAAATAAATACTTAAAGAATTAAAACAAAAATAGAAATAGAAAATAGTTTAATGAAGACCAAGTTCTAGTGAAATACAGTATTTTCACAATTCTCTATGATGCCTGTAAGTCCATCATTATGTGTATTTTGGTGTGATTGAGTGGCAGTTTCTCTCTGCAGATGATGAGGTTGCAGTATGTGACAGCATCTGAAATGCACAAATGAGTTTAGAGTTACAATGTGTCTCCTTCCATTTGTTCATGTAAAAACAATTGTTTATGATGGCCAAAAGTAGTATGTGAGCACTTCAGAATGTTATGTTTATGCATAAACCCAAGTAATAAAAATACATATAACAATATGGACCATAAATGTAATATCTTTGTTACTTAGTGGAGATGGGGAAAGACATATCCTTTACTGAACAGAGCTGGTCACACTTACAGGTTCTCTTAAACTAAAAAGAGAAAAAGTCATGATTGGTAGGAAACCAGTTACAGTTTGAAAGTTAAAAATAATAGACATTTAAGAAAGAAATCATTTACCTGTTGAGAGTGTGTTGACAGTCTGTGTAGCTGGATGACTGTGCTCCAGAAAATCAGTAATGAGCCTCTATTAGGGATTTACGTTAAAATAACAACAATAACAATAACAACAGCAATAGCATGTTCTGTGAATTAGGTACTTTTTTATTGACGTGAAATTGTAGCAAAAATGTTAGTGCTTTTAACAACACTTATTAGCTGAATGCATTAATAAATGACAGTTGACACTGAACATGAATAAATACATAAAGAATTAAAACACACACACACACACACACACACACAAAACAAAACAAAAAATAGGTGTGATGAAGACAGTTCCAGTGAAATATCTTCACAATTCTCTATGATGCCTTTAAGTCCATCATTTTGGTGTGACTGAGTGGCCGTTTCTCTCTGCAGAGGATGAGGTTGTGGGACGTGATGCATCTGAAATACACAATTGAGTTTAGAGCTGTCCATTTATTTATGTAAAAACAATAATGTCTATGAAGGCCAAAAGCAAAAATGGACAGAATGTGAGCCCTTCACAATGTTAAAAGAAAAAGTTATATAAAGTCATGGGATAGATTTAATATTTTTTTTAACTGGGTATGTTTATGCATAAATTACATTACATTAACATTTAATCATTTAGCAAACGCATTTATCCAAAGCGACTTACAAATGAGGGTAATATAAGCAATCAAAACGACAAAAGAGCAACAATATATAAGTGTTGTGACAAGTCCCGGTTAGTCTAACGTGATACACGTA